TGACTGACGAAGTTCCTTAACAAGTGGTTGGAACATTCTATCTTCTTTACTGGAAACGGACCATATGGTCGTTCTTTCACAATTTTGGAATAAACACTACTGCCACCAAAAATCCATATTTTAGACCATGCATTGCCATACTTTGTTTGAAACCTTCAAGTATAATGTCACTTTCCATAGAAGTGGAAGATCCGTTCCAGTTTTTAAAACAAAGATGATTTTTGTTTGTTCCATTGTGACATGTCGTACAGTATTTATTTCTTATCCCTAAAAATAAAAAAAGATGTGGTGTCGTGGGACACCAGGTAGGAACGAAGTTCCTTCGGCTAATGTAGAATCGACACAATTTGCAAAAAAAAATCGTGCTCAATTTTATGTAGGTTTTCTTGATTTTTCTCTTAAATTTTGCTGATTAGTTTTTATTTAAGTACAGGAAAGTATTTAGGAAATTCAGTATTTTAGGAAATAATAAATTACGTAAAATAGGTAGAATTATCAAAATATATATATATATATATTTAAATGTTTGGAATTGAAGGGAGAATTTGTTTTAATTATTTAAAAAGGGATGAGAGAACGAAAAGAAAGAGGGAGAAAGAGAAATGTATTTTTATCCACTACTCGCTTGTGTATACGACTGTCGCGCCTGCGCACGTCTCATTTAACGGTTTTATTCCACGGACTTTTTCTTACGGTTTTACTATCACATTTGTTTCAGTTCGGTCGTGCAGCAAAATCCCTATCTCCTCCAAGCCTGCCGTAAGGAACTTCGTTCCAATAATTTTCCTGTTCGTTGTCCAACAATACATGCTGCACCCGATTTTGAATTATAGTTGCTACGATAGGAACGCTTAGCCCATGATCCATCCGCTACAACCGTAATGACGGGTACTCCAGTATCATCTATTTCTCCAGCTTCTTTTGCCAAAAAACTTCCTTCTTGTCCTGCCTGAAGCATTGAATTCCAGCATTCCTCTTGGAAATTTTCTTCTAATTTCCGAAATTTGTTGTACGACATGCACGGAATATTTAAAGTGCTAGAAAATTCTTGCAACTGTGATTTAATTTTTAGAATTTTATTTTTTCTCTTTATTGTAACTTTTAAAGTTATAAAAAGATGTGTCTAACAGTAAAGTAAAGGTAATGAGACATGCTATGTGTATGTTTCAAATAAGTGTTTTGATTACAAAATTTTGTCATGACCTTATCAATATTTTTATAAGGCACGTGTACCAATTCCGATAGGTGCAGTCTAATACTAACAATAACAGTATTGTTGTACCAAATTTTGGGAAATATGGAGTGAGCCGTAGTTGATTTAATCTATAGAATAAATTGACTCAATGGTAATTTTTTTTTAGTCACCCTGTATATGCAATTCTAAAAAATATGAACGCATTGATAAACCACAACAAACGGGAGATTTACTTTTTTATAGTCTAGGGGTCATGAAACGTCGAGAAAACATAAAATTAGTCATTCGCCAGATGGATCTCTTTACTGCGTTATCAGCAAAAAAATCTCTAAATCGAATCTTACAATTATCTGACAAAACTGAATATGTTATACCATACCGGACTTCAAGGGCGAGGAAAGTACTCTCTAAATAACTTTAGACCAATTTTTATAATTCAACAATTTACATAATAGAGTATCAAAAATAAAACACCGATAGCTTTCGAATAATTTTGAATGTGTTGTGCTAATTTTTTTTTTATTCCACCAATATTTTCTATTTTGACAAAATGACGAAAGAATCGAAACCTGGAGAGCAAACCGAGTAAAATTTGAAGCCTCTTTTGTCAGGGTAGGTATTTTACCCTGCATAATCTCCGCCTTCCCAATTTCACGGTCAACTTCTGCCGGAAGGTCCGACCCACTGTGCGACAGAGATCGCAGTAGGTACAGCTGAAAACTTGAGGCAAATTTTTCATCTGCAGCGCTTACTTAACTGACGTTGTATATGAATTGTGTAACACTTATTAAAAAACCTATTGATGCAATCTGTTAAGAAAGGTTCGTTGTAGATACCTCTTTTTTTAATTTTTTTCGCACTACAAAGTGTACGTTGTTAACAGCAATGTAAATGTCGTCATTTTTGCATGTTTTTACTTTTTTTTTTACACAGAAAACAGAACTGAAAATCAAATTTTAATATAAGAGGGACAAAATATGTCTAATAAGGATTGTTAAGAAAAAAAATTATCGTCCTAAGTCAATTTCTCTCGTTTTTACAGGACATTTCAAATGGGATAAAAACTGTCCCAAACCAGGCCGAGTGATACCGCCTTAAGTTTTGTTATTTGTAGTTATCTAAATGGTTCATTAAAAGGTTCTCTTCAAAAGCGCCAGCTGTTTTGATGGTAAATCTAATCGCAGTAGAACACGGCATTTTAATGAGATTTTAGTAATAAAGACCCGACCAGCACCAGCAACATAACCTAATAAAATATTTTGTCCAGTTTGTGCTTTATTCAGTTTAAATTGACCTACAATAATCGTCATATTGGAAAAAATAATTCAATTTGAGTCGTTCAGTGATTACTGAGTGAGGCAGCGCGAGTACATTTATAGCTTGACGGGCTCCCAGGACATGTCACAATGCTGCCGATGGAGTTTTGAGGAAGACCAGCTGCTTCATCTCGGGCTTTTTGGATACGGCCTGAGTGTAGTTCGAGATGGCTCGTTTAACGGGGTCGCGCACTATGACGAATGAATGGATCAATTTGTGCATTTATACCGTTTAATTTGTCCTACAATAATCATCACACTGGATAAAATAATTCTGATTTCTGAGAGTAATTTCTAATTTCACTTTGACATTTGGATTTTGCATGGTTAATCTATAGACGCAATCGCCGAACTTCAACAGTGCGACGGAACATTTCGCGACAAAACGGATCGGGCGCGAATTTCAATAACCGATTTTTAAAACCTTTTTACAGTAAATGAGCGCGTTGCAACGATTTGAAAAAAATACTGGCCGATAGCCCTCTTCGACCTCCACAAAAGCATCACTCAATAATAGCCTTAAAGTGATCTGGGGAGATATTATTAAATAAAAACCAATTTGCCATGTTAATTCCCTATGTCCAGACTTGGATGCGGCACCCTGTAACCTTGAAGGTAGAAAAGTAAAACGTTTGGACAAATCAATCAATAGTCCTTCTCACTTTTACACAAAATAAAGTTTTTGAAAGACTTATTCGATTTTGTAAAAAAACACCAACATCAAAAATTAAACAAATTCGAAAAAGCCACAATGTAGCACAGTCTATACCAGCAAACTATGTCACTAAATATAACGAATCTGAGTGGGAGGTGAAATCATCTTCAAATAAGGATGCATATTTGGTAATCAAACTTGAAAAACCCAAGCTGCAAAAATCATTGTCAATTTTGTTGTGAATTATCTAAAAATGTTTCACATGTACACATGTACGTGTCTTGACTTTATAGTGCACGGAAATCTGCAAGCACATTCATTTATGTATATTATTAGATGGTAATAATAACAAAAGATTTAGGGCCAGTTGCATAAATTGTCATCAAATTTGTAATTATCATCAACTTTGATTGGGTTGCTGAAACAATAATAATTAAGCCTTTGTTAACTGGAGTGGGTTCGAGAACAACACTCTGGCGTCAAATTTACACCAAAAGTGGTTCGAAAACACTTGGTGCGCACACCAGTTGAATAAAATAATTCGTTCGTAAACCTGTCAGAGTGTCACTCAGAGGGCACTCAAATTACCCCAGTCTAGACTGGGTTAAAAATCGTCGCGCTTGCGCATTAATGTATGTTTTGACGTAGTTTTGACAGAGCGCGAAAACAATGCCAGTTGACAATTTCTCTATGGTTCACAGTGTGGTTGGGAGTAATTTTTCCATGTGGTTAACTGTTGGATGAAAATAGAAATAGACCGATTACACGCGTTTTGAGTTTGATTCTCATTAGTTGAGTGTTTTGTGTTGATTGTTTTGTGGTCTATAAGAACGGGCAGGATTATTATAGGTAATAGGTTTACTTTGTTCCGAAAATATTCAAATAACCTTAAGTAATCAGTTAGCTATGGAAAAACAAAACACACACCAACACCAATAATTCCAGTGTTATAAAAACCCAAGATACAGAATGTCATACTCAGTCATCTCAAATTGGCAAGTGGAGTCGAGATGGAATTCTACATTTAATACAGTTATATAAAGATAATTTGGAAAAATTTAAAAGCACTTCCGTTAAAAATGAAAAAGTTTGGAAATGTATTGCGGAAGATATGGCCAACTTGGGGTATTCATATACAAAAGCACAAGTCGAAAATAAATTTAAATATTTAAAAGGCAGATACATAAAACGAAAAGATAATATGGGGTCTCGAGGGACGGGCGAAAGTCCAGTCAGTTTCGAATATTTTGATGAATTCGATGCAATTTTTGGGGACAAACCAAATGTTCGACCAATCGCTACTGCTTCATCATCGAGAGCAAGCAGCAGCACAAGTAGTGAACCACCATTGTTAAGCGATGAAGAAGAAAAACCCGTCCAAAAAAAGAAGTGTACACGAATTGAACGTGAAGTGGCTACATTAGCGACTGCGTTACAAGAACGTGATGTAAAACGTGAAGAAGCCCAAGAGCGTAGGCATCAAGAACGGCAGAATATGGCGCAACAAGCACTGCTTATGTATCAGAGAATGATGGATAAATTAACTGAAAAATTATAAATACTAATATTTAATGTCAAAGAATTAGTTCTGCAGCAAATATTTTTTCATTTTTTATTTGTTTCTATATAGAAGGCTATGTTATATTTTATAAAGTTTACTAATTAGAGTATGTTTTACTTTTATCGTTAATAAAGAGTTTTTTGTACTTTGTGAGGCACTTTATCTTTGTTAAATAAACATTTAATTAATACTTAACTCTTGTAACAATAAAAGATACAAAACGCAATTGCATTACAGTAAACTGTCTATTTTTGTAGTTTACTAAATAGTTGACTAATGCCTTCTTGCCCTTGCATATAGATTTTCTGCTATGTTGTTTCGAAAGGTTCTCCCCTCATCTCTCACCTCATGAAATATCTCGACATCAACATCTGGAATGTCGCCATTTTCCTGCACAAATTCATTTCCTTCTTGAATGTATCTTTCAATTAATAGATCGTCATGATTTAAACATAGATTATGTAACACACATGCAGCTAGCACAGTTGCTGGAATTAAATCTTGTCTATTCATGTCAAGAAATTTTAGTCTACGGAATCGTCCAAATAAGAGAGCAAATGCTCTTTCTATAACCTGCCTTGTTGTTGCGTGAACAGTATTGAAGTACGTCTGGACAGCAGTAAGTGGACGATGTTGGATGTAGGGTGGAATACACCACTCTAAAATAGGATAGCTCTTGTCACCTATAATGTACTCGCCATGTTCAAAAAAGCCAGCTACAAAATATTGCAAAATGTAGATTACAACCAACAATTGATGATTGTTTGCTAACCTCTATTTTCGCATATATCAGAATATATTGGTGAATTTCGAAACACACGACAATCACTCACTGACCCTGGATATCCAACAAACGCATCCACAAATTTCAGTGATGGTTCAACAATGGCTTGCAATGTTAGAGCACAGAAACATTTTCTTGTAATATAAGCATCTGGATTTTGTTGTGGTGCTTTGATTGGAATATATGTCCCATCAATTGCACCAATTACATTATTCAGTTCACCAAATCCCTTAAAATGATTTATTATTTGTTGCCTGTTTGCTACTACTGGCCATTTTATTACTCTTGAAGCTAATTGATTTAGTCCTTTAATGACTCTAACAAAAGCATCACTTAAAGTACTTTTTCCCATATTGAACTGTGTGCCAATTGATCTGTAACAAACACGAAATTAAATTATAGGTACCCACATAATAAAATTTTGTATCCATACCTATACGAGTCTGGTGTCGCCAGTATCCAAATAGTTGCCAATATCTGTTTGTCCAGTTGTTTTAAAGGACGCCCTGTATGATAATTTTTTTGTAACAAAGGTATAAGTTGGTTGCACAATAGTTCGAACGCTTCACGTGATATTCTGAAGTGTGATTGAAATTCTTCTGGTAAATATTGCGGTATAACATGTTCAAAGTAGTTCTTACATCTGGGAATTTCTCTTTGTCTTGGAGACAACTGATTTTTCACTTTATTTACCACAACAAGTTCCACATCTTCATCAAAATCTTCTTCTGCATCTTCTAGTTCTAATACCGCATCAAAAAGTATCTTATTTAATACCAACACACAAGTAGTAATAATTTTCTTGCTTTCCATCTTAGTTTAGGTTAGATCTTTTGACATCGCTCCTGAATCGTTCGAAAACATTATGAAACAACTAACACACTGTAGCACACTATCTTCCCCCACCACTTAGAGCGATTTTTCAATTGGTGCGATGTTCTCGAACGCAGCCCTGATTATCATCAAGTCGCTATTTGATAGCGCGCACCAACCGGCAACGCAGCATAAAACGGTATTTGCGTGACATTTTGAAGTTATGTTAAAAATTTACTTTTTGATTCGTGGTTGTGGTGAATTGGTGCGGCCTTCGTCGGTGTTTTTGAGGTGTCGTATCTACTTAAATACATTCAAGATGAGCAGCTCCAGTTCCAAAGCACCGAAGAGATGTAAAAATTTCACCGGGCACGAGAAAAGCGAATTAACGCAAATAATTCAAAGGTAAGCCGCGGACAGTGAATTTCGTCCACACAATTCACGCGAATTCACAAAAATTCACTGTAGTTGGTGCTTTATTGTCATGATGACTGACGTAAGTATTGTCAAATTTAATTTAGCTGCGAACCTGCCATCGATTAGTTATTTTAATGAAGGTAAACTAATATCCCTTTTCCAAGACGGGATGTCGCTACACTTTTGGGCTTATCGCGGACGAGTGTTAGTTATCGTATAAAAAAATGTTTGCCCCTTTATGTCAAAATGACAAAAAAAAAGGTTAGAAAGATCTAAGGGCTAATTTAGAGTTTTTTTCTGTCAAAGAAATTGGGTGGACGAAATTCACTGTCCACGACCGTAGGTATGTTAAAAATCACCGAAGTTTCTAGTAAAAGTGGTTAACAGCGGTTAGTTAATAGCAAATGAGTTATTATTAAACAGTTAGCAAACAGTGTTTTGCATTCATTTTTTATACTGAAAAGTCTTTGAAATTATTTTTATAATGGATGTCAAACTAGTCGGCCATGGTCAAACAATGAGGTTTCCCGATCCCATTTATACATATTTTCTTCCACTTGTATTAATAAAGCTACAAAAACTCCGTTCTTCTGTACCTGGTCCTATCCCATTTCATCTATTATAGATATGCCCATATAATTGAAAACAAGAAGACAGACGCCGTTTCGGTCAAACAAAAAGTGAATTGTTGGGAGGAAATAAAAAACGAATTCAACGCAGTCACTACAGAGGGGCCTAGGGATGTTCAGTCGCTCAAGACTTTTTACCAAAATACTAAGAGAAGTTTGAAAAAGGAACGGGCTGAAAAGAATGTAAAATACAAATGGAATGTACAATATTTTAGCATTTACAACATAATTCATAATTTTTAGAAAGAAACATATATTTCCATTCTGGAAAATAAACTGGATAAAAGAGGTGAAGGAGCCGCCCAGGACACCGGTGAACCAGAAATGGAATTACAGAAGCGTTACAGGTCCTGGAAACAATAGAAAAGGTATGGGTTACCATATTGTAGGTATATCTAGAGTATAGATGACACTCGAAATATTACAGAAAAAGACAAAAAAAAAAAAAAAACAGGTGGAAGCCAATTTTGCTGATCCAACAGGAGCTGATGCAATTTTGGGAGAGTTGTTGGCGGATCAGCTCCAGCATTTGGAAAATAGTTTTGATGATGGGGAACAATATTTTGGTTTGTATACTGGGACAAATGGTCATGCATCTTTTTAATATGATCTTTTATGATATTGAGATTGATTAAAAAAAAAATCATTTGGTTTTACAACAGATTTTTTTCCAGGAAATGTTAACAACAGCGAACCCCAAAATCCTTCCTCCTCCATTCCAATCCGTAAAAAGAAATTCCGAGTACCAAAGAAAAGCGGTTCAACTATTAAAAAGAAAATTTATGAAAGTAAATTATTTTTAGTAAACTTAGAAATTCGGCAGAAGGAACACTGATTTGGGCTTACAAGAATTAGTAGAAATGGGTACGTCATCAGACTTTGGAATCAGTGAAGATCACTGTGATTTTGTTGAAGAGTTAACAAGTGAGCAGGCAAACAGTTTTCACTGGTTCCATTATAGACAGGGAGGAGTAACAGCTTCCATCTTTAGAGAGGTTGTAAAAACTTCTCTTACGAAACCATCCAAAAGCCTCATACAGAGAATTTGTTACCCTTCTAAAATAAAATTGAACACTGCTGCTATAAAACATGGCTGTCAACATGAAACAGATGCAGTGAATAGTTTCAGAGAAATTGCATCCAGACAATATCAAGACTTGAGGGTTTTTAAATCAGGACTTGTATTAAAGTTCAGAATATCCACAGCTGAGTGCTTCACCAGATGCTTCAGCTAAATGTAAATGCTGCATTATTCTCACTTTTATGTTACATTATTACTCAACTGCACGTTATAATGCGCTTCGTAACAGTGGGAATCTTATCCTTCCTCATCCAAAACATTTACAAAGATTATCAAGTAATTTAAATATACAGTCTTTGCCCTTTCTATTGAAACATTGAAAAATTGTTGATTCTAAACTTGGTAACGTACGCTTTCAGTCTAGTAATTATTCTATCGTATTGTTATCAGCACTGAGTGTCATGTCATATTTGCCAAAATATTCAAATTAAAAACAATAATTGTCTTTTCGTTTGAAAATGGAACAACGTAGAAAAAAACGAGTCCTTTTGAGTGCTGAGATGAGAAAAGCTATAACAAAATTATATGATAAACTCCACAGATACCAGTCAATGTGGTCTATTAGAACAGTTGCTGTTGAAAATTCCGAGATGTTTTCCGTAAGTTAAAGAACCGCTTTTTTAAAATTTTGAAATGTTTATATTGTTACTGTCTGGGAAAGATAGAACATCAGCTTTATGGAGCACAGATTTAATAATTCTGATAGTGGTATGTGGATAAATGCTATAAAACACTGCCAAGAACTGATTGATCAAGACTGGAAAAAATGAATGGGCAATTTTCCAGTCAACGATATTCGCCCTTTCATTATTAACCTGGAAGAATCTGACTCTGATGCAGATTATTTACAAGCAGACGCTCCTCGCTTCAGGTTTCGATAATTTTTCAGTTGATAACTTACCAGTTCCTGTTTAATAAAATTCAGTTCGTAACTACTCTCTTCAAAACGAAGAGAACAAAATTCTTGCGTTTAAATCTCAACGTGCACAAGCTGCCTCTTACAATTTAGAAACGTTAAACGTTGGTCTCTGTCGGGAAACGATAAAACCTAATAATTTCTTTCAAAAGGCCTTGCAGTGGATTGTCACATATATTCCACACCACAATTTCACGTAAACACTTATTCCAAAACAACCTGTTTGTACGTTTCTAACATGATTTATAATTCCTTCGATACACAGAACAAAGAATCTTCTGCAGTCCCGCTTCGTGGTTACGTGTTTACCAAGTGTTCTGGACATGACCACACGATGTCAATAATCTTTCCAGTCAATCCCAACATGTTCAAGATCATATCTTACGTTCTTCTCGTTCATATGTTAGCATCAGCATAAATCTATATACTTTGAAATATACAGAGATTTGACGTTTTAGGAATAAAAAATGTCAAAATGACAGTTTTCTAACTAAAAGCCCCTCTCAATCAACTGAAAACTGTTCACATTGCTAAATTTTAACCAAAATCAACAGGTGGTGTTTCAATGGAAATGGCAAAGACTATAAGTCCAAATTCTGAAAACACAAATAGTATTTTTTAAAATCCTGTAACTTAGAATTTGACAGGTATAGAAAGATATGTTATCTTAACTCTAGATGAGATTTACGTAAATCCATCCGTTCAATATAAAGGTGGTGAATAAACAGGTCAGGTAGCAAACAATCAAATCTGGAAGCTCGCACTATTCAAGCATTTATGGTGCATTGAGCTTTCGGTTCTTTTCAAGAAACTGTGTTATTAACTCCTATAAAAACCTGAACAGGTGAATTTTTGACTAATTTAACAGATTTTATGCAAAATAGTAACTTAACAACTTGATATGTATTATATCTGATAATAATAGAATCAATAGAAATATGCTAAATGAAGTAGTCAAATATTTCAAGTCAGAAGAGTCATTTAAAATTGATAACGCAAAATCCCATACTTTACCTTTATTTTTAACGTATGACACTGCAGATATATTTAAAAATCTCAGGAATAATTGGATCAATGAAAAAGATGATGAAAAAACTTTTTTATCCAGATTGTGATGACCATAGTATTATTAATAAGGTCTGCTTTAAAGATTTAAGAAAAATCTATAACACACATAGCCATTTGACCAACTTATTAGCAACTGCGGTTAAACTTAATTATAAAAATGTTTAACTGTTTATCCAACCAATCTCAACAGGTAAAAAGTGATATTAGTTGAAAATATATTCCACGAAACTACAGTCGCTACTTTAAGAGCTAGTGATTTAGATAGTGGCAATACAATAGATTTTTTATATATCATAATAAGGTGGTGGAAAATTGTAAATATGAAAAGTCTTTTCAAGATGTAGCTAAACGCGATTCAAATCAGAGTGCGTTTAAGAACATAAATGATACCATATTAAAGAAAAAATTACATATGTATCCATACAAGATCACTACAGTGTAACACTGCTTCCACAAGACATTGATGCGCGTGTGCGGTACTGCCAATGGTTTCTGCAAAACATGAATAGAAACGAGATTTTAGATAGGACCTTTTTCACTGACGAGGCTTACTTTCACCTATCAGGATACGTTAATTCGCAGAACTATAGAAGTTGGTCAACTCAAAAGCCTCAAGTCTTTCTTATCGTGATGTTTTCGTTATAATTTCCGGAGTAATTTTGTGACGTGTAAAATGGCTCTTAAAATTACAGTATACCTTTAAAATTTTATTTTGAATTATCAAAGTTTAAAGGGGGGGTCTAAAAAGTTGGAACAGGGCGTCGTTTCTGGAATTTGTTCGCAAAGATGCGAGTAGCAATAACATATAGGGTGCGCATCGACCAAGGCGATTCGTACAACCATTAAAACCGTTCGCAACTTTGTAATAAGTTAATATTCGAATCCGCAACTGATTCAGGTCTCTTGTCACGCCACTTCATTATTTATTTCAGCATTTTCTGCTCTGTTATATTCAAAATCATGAGTAGAAGACCTCTAACTGAGCAACAGCTTCTCGAGCTAATGGAGAAAGGTCTGTCTGATATCGAAGCTCTTAGTAGTGATGGAGATGATGGTTGGGAGTCTGAAGATTTTGAAGCAGACCCAGAAACTGTAACCGTTGTCCCTGAACCTGAAGAAGAAATTCAAGAGGAAGGTGAATTTATTGAACTGATTTCTTTTGAATATTATGAAGCAAAAGACGTTCCTCAACCAGGTCCATCGACAAGAATTCAACAGGGTCCATCGACAAGGACTAGTCGTGGACGACAAGTGAAAAGAAAAGAAGTA